GACTTATCTATTTACATTTACTAGTACTTACTTTTAAGAGCGTTTTGATACTTTCGTTAAGGTTCCTGACTAATCGCGGCGGCCATGTAGGAATCGTCAGAAGTGAGAAATGACACGTTAATTTATATTGCGTGCCATTTTTAAATAAAGACAATTTGGATGAAACAAAATGACGAAATCACTTTAAAACACTTGTAAAAATCGATGAAAACTGTCCTTTCCTCCCTTTATAGTCATCCAGCAAACTAGAATGGATTAAAATGGATTAAAATTTTTTTAATGCATACTTCAAATCCATGAAAATGGATTGAATGGATTAAAATGAATTGAATCCGAATTGGTACTAATTTAATATTCGAAAAAAAAAATTTTTTTATTTAACGATTATAAATTTTATTCCTAAGACATAATAATTATACCTAAAATAAACTACTTCAAATTGGCATTAAAAAAACGCACCTTAGGGATTCGAGAATCTGAGACCTCTGGATTATGAATCTTCTACGTTACCCGCTACATCACTTCTTCAATTGGTAAATGTGTTATTTATTCTCTATTTTAATTACAACCCAGCTAATAATCTAATCTCGCTTGGCCGATGTCGCGCGCCGTAATTGGCCCAATATTTGGGCTGTGTTCGACTTGGTTTGCGAGTGTTACTTCTAATCAAAGAGAAAAAATAAAAGAACATAGCTCAATTATTTTTACGTTACAACTTTTTTGAACTTAGTTGGAAAAATTAAAACAAAAAAATTTCTACTTATAATTTTGAATAATTTAAGTAGCATTTACACAGTGCGACAAATATGTTCCCGGACACGAACCACATCTCAGCAACCAGTGGCAACATCTGTGCGTTCAAACATGCATTTGAAAGGTTTAACATTTCCCTATCTATCTGTCAAAGTTTCATTCATTTTGGTTGACATATAACGGAGATATCACAGTTCATGTTAAATAAGATCTTGGTCGAGGTAGAAATGTCTCTGGAATGATTGATTCTCATTGATTTTTGATCGCTTCTTAATGTGTGTGGAACAAACTTCGCACAAACCTTCGTTTTACCCAAATCTTCATGTAATATGGTTCGAATCGTTTCTCTACTGATATTTAAAGCCTCCTCCATCATTTTTAGTGACGCATTGCGTTTGCAACAAAATTACGTACTTTTTCAATCATTTCGGGTGTTCGAACCAAAATTGGCCGTTCTGATTTTTTGTCATCTTCAAGGGTCTCTCTGCCTTCCAAAAAACTCTTATGCCACTCAAAAACAGCTGTACGACCTAGACATTGATTGCCGTAAATTTGTTGCATCAATCGGAATGTTTCTGATGCACTTTTACCAAGTTTTGCGTTAAATTTAATCACTGCTCTTTGTTCCATATTAAAATTTCTACCTCGACCAAAATCTTGTTTAACATGAACTGTGATATCTTCGTTATATGTCAATCAAAATGAATGAAACTTTGACAGATAGATAGGGAAATGTTAAACCATTCAAATGTATGTTTGAACGCACAGATGTTGCCACTGGTTGCTGAGATGTGGTTCGTGTCCGGGAACATATTTGTCGCACTGTGTATGATCCATTTTTAAAAGTTTTTAAATAAAACTTTTTTTATTTAATTAGATTGAAAAACTGCATATTCAGAACATTGAATTGAACACGTTGCACAGAAATTGCTGATATTATTTTTAAATTTCATTGAATTAAAAAAATGTACTTTCTATTTACAATTCTGAACTGAGTAGTATTCACGATGCACAGAAAATGCTAATATTATTTTTAGATTGAAAGGCATAGAGATATGTTCTATGCAATTCCTATAAATAAATAAAAATGCATTCAGGATTGAAAAGAATTCATTTTAACATTCAGGAATCCGTATTTCTGAAAATCTGAATCCATTTTAGTCCATTTCAATCTATTCTCGTTTGCTGGGTCATAAAAAACACGTAAAGTGAGTCTATATTTGAGGAAAAACACAGTCCGACGGCTGTTGAAATGAGTAAAATATACATTTTTACATATAAAATTTCAAAATAACTTTAGTTTTCATCGATAATTACAACTTTGATAAGTATGAGATAAGTCACAGTTTCACAATTAAGCAGATAATAACGAAATGGCACGCAATATAAATTTCGTCGTCAAAATGTCATTTTTCAATGCCTATAAGTTCGGCCATTTATCATGGTGCGGCGCTGTAACACACAATAAGCATGAGCCCATGTCTGTGTACTCGCCTGCGGCGCGTCGAGAGTGAACAAGACTGCAAGCTCCTTCTTACACTAGTCGCTTGTTTTAAGTGATCGGAAATGCTTTCTCGGCAATCTCAGCCGCTCAGCAGCCCTAGGTATTAATAAGAGGCGGGGGACATCTTAAATAACATATAAGTATAATATTAATAAATTTTAGTAATAGTATATCCCTCTCCTTAATCCAGAATAGTATAAATCATGTTAAAACGCAACAGTTTACGAGATATTTAATTAATTATGATTAATAATTGTTTATGATTTTTCATGCGCGTTATATAATATATCTCCCCTTCATAAACTCGAGTAGTTTACAAGAATAGTTTAGTAGAAGTAGAATTTTACCGGAAAAAAATTATAAACCAGCATTTCTTTTCACGAAAGTCTCGAAAGGCCATCAGAAAAAAAATGCGTATGTTCGAGACTCGAAACTTGTGAAGAAAACATGCGAAAAAAATCGAATAGTTGCAAAAACCACGTTTTTCGCTTATAAAACGAAAGATATTGATTGTATGAAAAAAAATCAGTATAAAAAAATGTAGGTATTCGAAATAACTATAAAATAAGATGTGGAACATTAAAATCAATTTATTACAATAGTTCAGTAGAAAAAAAATTAAAAACATCGAAAAAGGCCTTTTTTCACTTGTTCTTTGAGATTTAAACGCAAAGCTTTGAAATTCTCGTAAAATGTAGCCCTCGTAATGGTGAACAAATCTAACCCTGAACAAGCCTGAAATGTTTATTAGTTTTTACTAAAAGCTCATTTGTTCACTAAAAACCTGTCTGCGGAAAACTTAATTTCTTTATCTTTGAGCAGTCGCACAGCAACTTACAGGGATGATTTTTCTTCTTCAAGAATTGCACTACACTTAATAACAAAACGATTTTTTGCAGTTAAACTATTATAAAACGCTTTTTAAAAAGTAGATATCTTTTTCTGTATAAAAAAATGGAAATAATTTCGTTAATATGCATATATCAAATAGCCGTGTGAAGCATTCGAAATCTGACATTTTTCTACGAATTTAAAAAATAAAAAGATTACCCTCCGATCATTAAGAGCCGAGATAACAATTTTTTTTCAAAAAATCACTGTAGCTCTAGTTTTTAAGATTAAGAGTTCTCTGGCATCAAATTGTCAAGGAAGAATTGAATTTGTTGTTGAAATATAGCCGAAGGTACGGCCCATCGAGCGTACGGCGCACGAGCCGCGAGGAGTGGGGACGGCCTAGCAGGCGTTCGAGCTTAGAAGCTCGCGGCGGTGAGCGGAGCACTTGCTCCATTCTCCGCGCGCCGTGCGCTCGGTGGGTCGTACTTTAGCAAGACGCGCGTATTCGGCTATCTTTAAACGTTAATATCTTGTTAATTATTGTGAGCATTGCAAAATAGTACAGGACTTTTCGACTTAGTTTAGTCCGCTCTACCTGCTCGGGACGAGTGGGGCCGTACCCAGCCACCCTGTATACATATATACACTACTCAACAAAATTAAAGGATCACTTGTTCCACCCTATAAAAATAAGCAAATTTCAAGATAGAACAATTTTATCAAAAATCATCGTATCGAGATGTTTAAAAAAGCATTTTAAAACCTCTACTTTTCAATTCGGTACTTAAAAAAACGGTCTTGTTGATATTCTGTAAAGTTACATAAACATAAATACAGATATCAACATTTTTTACGAAGTGTCACGGCGCGAATTAAAAATTGTACACAGATATGGTTTACATCTTTTGAAAGAGTAAATCTTTATCTTCAATTTGTTTTTGTACAGGGTGGGCCATCTATTGGTACGTTTTTAAAAATGCGATCAAATGAGCATACATTGATATTTTTTATTAATTTTTTTTTTGTTGTGAAGCTAAAAGTATCCGCGTCAAGAATGAAAAACGATTTCGTTCATGTGGCTCCCTCTACTGGCCTTACAGTATGCCATTCGGTCACCCCAATTATT